GACCTGTGATTAGCAGCATAACTTGTAACCCACTAGCCACGAGGGCTCATTGATCAGCCTGTGACCCATGTAAACGTACCCATGAGAACAGTCGCACTAAGCCACCGGTGTCCGTGGATGCCTGCTCACAGCAGCCGTACAGGACAGAGAACTGTTCCCTAGGGTTTCACAGACACTCGATCTGGTGGGTTCGAACTCCTAACCTTGTGGTGAGCAACCCAAGCACAGCACCCACTGCCCCACCTGGGCCCCGTGGCAGTCGTTAGTTGCCACCAAGTTAGTTCCAACTCATGGTGGCAACTTTACATACAAGGAGACTTCCAAAACTTCCCGGAAATATCCCGTTCTCTCATCGTTCCGTTTTCCCACAAGCTCTCAGAAACTTCCCATATTTCCCACTACAATGAGCCCTAGAAAAGAGTGAGGACGGAAAGGCAGACTCGGAAGAACACGACAGACCCACCAAGTTCCAACTCTCACAGGTTTCACTGTTTGAAAAAAAAAAAAGTCTGGGCACATCTCACAAAGAATGCTGGGGAATGCAGTTTTCCTTCATGACTACACGTCTGGGGGCACTTGGGGATCCCATGAGAAGAGAGGATGAGCCCAGATGCTGGGGGACAGTCACTGCCCTCAGCAGTGTGTTTGGTGCAGATGTGGGGACCCGCTGTCGAACGGGGCTGTTGCCAGCAACACCCTGGGAGTGACATTCGGAATGACGCACGCGTGCGCGGGCTGTGATGCACTGGGGGCTCATGCCTCGGAGGGTACGGTGTGACAGGCCTCTCTCCCGTCCACACCAGGATGCCAAGGACGGACGTCTGTTCAACGAACAGAGCTTTTTCCAGCGAGCCGCCAAGCCTCTGCAAGGTATGCTGGGGCAAGGGGCACAGAGGGCGGATGGCCAGCCGTGGGGAGGGTGGGGATGTGAAGCCTACCGCCCCTCATTGGCCGCAGGCAGTGGGGGTCAAGCAGTGTAGTGTGTGCTGCTGGGGCCGGCACCTTCTGGTTTGTCCCACGTTCTGATTGTTGTTGGTTTTTCTCGTGACCAAGAGACACACACCAAAACACCGGCCAGCCCGCATGAACAATTCTGGGACACTGCCGGCATCTCTCCTGCTGTGCCACCGCCCCCGCTTTCCCTTTTCCAAACCACGAACCCCGTCCTCTCTCCCACCCACCCAAACAGAAACGCCCTCTGCCCTGGTGACCTTGGGGCAGCCTTTGGTTCCTGTGTGCTTGCTGCTTGTGTGTCACACTGTCCCTGTACTGGTGCTCCCTGTGGGTGTGGCAGCCCCTCCAGGGGAGACAGGCTTCGGGATTTCACCTCTGCGCTGTGGCGCCACGGGGAGGGACCCCGCCTTGCTTGCCCATTCATCAGACTCAAGCAATAGGGTAGTTTTCACCTTGAACCAGTTCTTAACAGGCAAGCACTACACCTTGAGAAATGTTGTAAGCCAGTCGTTAAATGTAAAATTAAGTAATAATTCAATCAAGAGAGCGTTCCTGCCGTCAAGTCAATTTTGCTTCATGGCAACCCTATAGGACAAGGTAGAGCCACCCCTATGGGTTCCTGAGACTGGTAACGCTCTACGGGGTAGAGCGCCTTGCCTTTCTCCCAAGGAGCGGCTGGTGGTGGCTAACTGCTGACCTTGAGATGAGCAGTCCCACATTAAACTGCTGACAAGCAGACGCCTCGTGGGATTTGGCTCCTTGGTTGAAAGGTGTCATGGCTTCGTGGGACAGCCCAGGGAATTGACTTACTTAGTGTTGCTCCTCCATCTCTTGAGCCCCAGTGGCACAGTGGTTATGTGTTGAGCCGGGAACCGCATGGTCTGCAGGTTCGAAGCCGCCAGCCGCTCCTCGGAGAAAGGCTGGGCTTTCTCGTCCTGTGAACAGTCCCAGGCTTGAAACCAGCAGAGCGGGTCGCTACGAGTCAGCACTGACCCCACGGAGTGGGGTGTTTAGCCCACCTCCTGCTCGCATGAAGAGTGATGGTCTCAGCCCCCTCGGGGCACGCCCGCCCTGTCCTCTAGGGCCGCTGTGCGTCAGCATCCACCTGGTGGAAGTGAGTTGGGTTTGTGGTGCTGCCTCCTACGTAGTTGCACAGGGCCTACGGGTATTCAGAGCTTGCAAGCAGCCACCCAAGATACAGCAATTGGTCTTTCTCTCCCCGGCACAGCGGAGGCTGGAGAGTCAGGAACAGGAGGAGCATAGGGAACACGAGACTGGTCGC